ACTTCATAAAATCCTAAATCAAAATTTGTAGAAATAAAAAATAATTGTAGAAATAATGGATGAAACTTGAGGACATGATGCTAAATGAAATAAGCCAGTCATTAAAAGACAAATACTGTATAAGTCTACGTACATGACATACTTATTAGTATTCAAATTCACAGATATGGAAAGTAGAAGGGTGGTTGCCAGGGGCCAGAAGGAATTCTGGAGCTTGGTTAGACAACAACAATGTGAATGTATTTAACACAACTGAACTGTACACTTAAAAATGATTACGATTGTAAATTTTATGTTATGTGTATTTTGCCACAATTTTAAAAATAAATAAGTAAATAAATGTAAAAATAATATTTCATGTCTCTACAGTCTTTTCTTGAGTTCATTAATTTTAATACATAATGATAAATTTAGAGAGTGTACTTGAAGAACCCGTAATTTTAAGACATGGGGTAAAATAAAGAAAGCTAAGTTAATTAAATTGAGATATATTACATCATTTAATATATGTCACAGATGCTTTTAAAACACTATTTAGCTGTAAGCTGACAATTGTGGGAACTAGGTAATGGGTACACGGGAATTCATTATACTACTCTTATTTTTATATAGTTGAAATTTTTTTAAATAATGATTTAAAAATAAAGATAGCTTTGCAAATAAATTAAGTATGAAATTCAGCAGGGCAGCAGAAATGATGAGAAAGGCCCTGGTGGGCTTTGTATTCAAACAGTGTTGAAAGATGAAATAAAGTAGAATATGGAGATATTTTAGAATATATTTTTAAAATATGAGTTTGATATAATTAGCCTAATGGTGAAGAGTTTTAAGGAAAGCAATGTTAATTAACCAGACAGAAAGACTACTGGAAGAAAAGAATCATAAAATCAGTTTAAATTTATATTCAGAATAAAATGAAATTTAAAATTTTACTTTATTTAAATTAAGAAACAAGCCCTTTCAATAAGCAGTTCTTTAGCTGTAATGGGTGTAGGTAATCAAAATATTTCTGCTATGTTGCCATGTATATTTCAAAATATAATCAAGTAGTTTTAACTGAAGAGACAGAGGATTAAAGAGAGGAGAGACTCTTTAATTCTTCTTTAAGAATAACATACAAAATGATCTAGTTGATCTAATATTAATTGTATAAAATCTAATCTCAAGAATGTAGGATATTTTGTTTTCAGTATCTGAATGTTCTCTTTTCCTGTTTCTGCTATACATAAGTGAGAGAAGGAAGTTGAAAGCCTCTGGGAAATTATTTTATCAATAACCTATGAACTGAGATTCCAAACTAAAACACAAAAACAAAACAAAATAAAAATTCTAGAAGACAAGTTGGTTTGAAGTTTTAATGTTGCACAAATCCCAAAAAGGGTCTGCTGAATCCGAGATAAGACTAAAACCATTTATAATTATGAATAAGGTTTAGGGAATAAGAGTAAATTGTAGTAAGAGAGAAGAAAAAGAAGCATACATGTAGTGTACAAAAAAGTAGAGAGAATAGTAGAAAAATCAAACCCATATACACATTACCCATATTGCATAGATATGAAAATTTTGCCACATTTGCTTCATCCATCCCTGATCTTTGTTTGCTTGTTTGGTTTTGTTTTCTTTTCCTAAATTCGTTGGCATAATTTTACATATTAGCCCATAATCAAATATCCCCAATTGTCTCAAAAGTGGTCCTTTTACAGTTATTTGTTTGATTCAGGATCCAAATAGAGTTCACATATTACATTAGGGTATGTCTCTTGAATTTCTTTTAATCTAGAGTAGTGCTACTCAACATTTGACTTGAACTGATACCAGTTTGAGAACTGTTACCAGTGCTTTTTCCTTTAAATTACTGAAAAGTAAAACAATAGTATGAGTGTTGTCCCCAAACAGTCCCAGAAAAAGACTGAGATATAATACAGATGGAAGATTTGAAGGATATAATCAAGTGACTGATTCACAATTCCCTTCAGGATTTGTGGTACAGGATTGCAGAAATTAAGTGCCAAAAACTCTAACATGCCAAAATTCCGAACACAGGGATCTGGAGTTCCTTTCACAAATTCAAATCAACAGCATGCACTGAGGCAGGGCTGGATGAGAAACCACAGTGATATGTGTTAAACATGTCCCGAAAAGTTCATGTATTGGAAACTTAACTTCCACTGTAACAATGTTGAGAGGGTGGGAAATCCAATTCTGGTATTTGAAAGGTGGGGCCTTTAATAGATGATTAGATTATGAGGACTGTGCCCTGGTCAATGGATTGACCTACTAATGGAGTAATGGGCACGGTTCTGATAGCTTTAAAAGTAGAGAGTGAGCAGGTTGGCTCTCTTGCTCAGGACATTCTTGCTGTGTGATACCCTGGTCACCACGGGACACTGTAGAGAGTCCCACCAAGAAGAAGGGCCTCACCAGATGTGTTCCCCGGACTTTGGACTTCCCAGCCTCCAAAACTGTAAGAAATAAATTTCATTTCTTTATAAATTACACTGTTTCAGGTATTCTGTTATAAGCAACAAAAACAAGATTACTACAGTCATAAAATGCAGGCACTCAATCCCAGAAGTTATAAACTGGCTACTCATAGCCCACACTGACATGTTTGGTTTGGTCCTCACCATGTCTGAAAAATATCTCTTTGAATTAGTTGCCAGCATCTAAAAATTTAGAGATTTCTCACCCAAATAAGAATTTTTTTTACCTTTCTTGAAATATCAAAAGATCTGGTAACACTTGGGCCCATGTTTCCAACCTGGCAACAGGCCAAGCACCATGGTCAGCTACAGACCACAGGACTCAGTCTGCTTATTGTTTGACCCCTGGCAGCTTGACCCATTTACATTACCATCCTGGTCTCCAGAGACATTTGAGTTTGCAGTTCTTCCCTAAGGCTATAGGGATTTTCTCTGAACAATATTTCTGTTTTGATATTGTCTATGGCTCACCTCTAAATGAAAGAGAATCATCCCTAATGAGAGGTGTAGCTCTCACTCCAAAGGATAGGGAACTTCATAACTCAGCAGCCAGCAGAAGCAAACAAGAAGCTAGACTTGGGCCGGCCGGCGCTCCCACCGAGGGTTCGGATCCCATGTGGAGACCGGTTCCCGCTCACTGGCTGAGCGCGGTGCGGGCGCAACACCGAGGGTTGCGATCCCGTTGCCGGTCCCCGGTACGGGCGTGACGCTGAGGGTTGCGATCCCGTTACCGGTCAGTAAAAAAAGACAAAAAGGAAAAAAAAAAAAAAAAAAGAAGCTAGACTCAGCCATACCTGTTTCTGAATCAGAGGTCAGACCAATAATAAAAGAAAATCCTGAAAACTGGATCTTGAGGCACTAGTTTACAAATTCAGTGAAGAAACCCCTGACAGGTATAATTTCCCTCCTGAAGATCCTCCCCAGCCCCTGCCTGCTCCCCCCACACACAAACACAAACACATACACAGTCCCAGCTTCTCTCCCTAACCTTCCCCTCTCTCATTCTTCTAGGCTACTGAAATGGTTAACAGTAATTTTATCAGTCTGCTTCCAGCTTGAGATAAAAGAAAATTTATTTTTTAATAAACCTGGTAAAAAGGCAAAGTTCCTAAGGAATAACCATATAAATCATTACAGGGCAAAAGGGGTCAAAAACCTATACTTATTCAATGAATAAACAATCAACATTTTCTTTAATCACTACATATCAGAAGCATTAATATTAAAATCAGGCTCAAGACAAGGAGATCCGTTTTCACTACTATTTAACATTTTTCTAGTCAATGCATAAAATAATAGAAATATCATAAAGAAGCAACAACAAAAAAAAACCCTCTTCCTTTGCAAATAACCTCACTCTACCTAGAAGACCCAAGAGAAACTACTAAAAGACTATGAACACTAATAGGAGGATTCAGTAAGGTGACAGCATGGTTAAAAAATTAATACACAAAAATTAACAGTTCTTGTATACATCAGCAATAGAGAAGATACGTGAAAATTCAAACACAATAGCAAATAAAATTAGAAATACCCAGGAACAAAATTAATAAAAGGTGCTAAGCAGGTCACATTACCCTGTACTAGGAGATTCCCTAAGGGCTTATAGACTGTCCAATGACTAAGACAATGAGGCTGGAACCTACCACAAGAGATTGACCCTGTACCTCTGAACCATCTATGAGCCACTCTGTCAAAGCTTAGCTGGCATATGATCCAAGAGGAAATCATCCTTCTCTCCTGTGCAAATACTCTTGATCTGATCAAGATTTGCATTTCCCTGGCCCAGTTTTGAATCATAGGAATCAGCTCAAAACTGTTCAAGTTTCTCAGAATGCACATAGGAAACAGTACCAACCAGTAGAGAATCAGGGTTCATCCTTTCTCAGGAATCAGATAAGTTGTCAAGTAAAGAAAACTTACTTATTCTCTAAGAAAGGGATTTCAAGGAACTTTTAAAAAGCTTTTGGCGGAAAACTTTACTAATTGTATATGTGGAAATAAATAAGTACATAGACCTTTTACATTATTATTACTGAATAGAAACAAAAGAAAAAATGTTTTGAAATGAGTTTACATTATTAAAAAATTCCCAATTAATATAGTCCTTCATATTTCAGAATTTGTGATTGTTCGACTATGGTTTGGTTTCAGGATTATCTTTTCACCCTCTGGACAAAAGTAGTTTCCTAAGAAAATTAATAGTGTAAATAAATGTTTCGAAGCACCACAGAAGCACCTTGTTTACATTCAGACAATTAATATGCTAAGCATTCTTATCTATTAAATTAAAGCAGGTCACCTAAGGACTTTACTAGACAATTCTTTATTAGCTAATTATAATGAATATATAGAGTTGAAGTAATAAAATGGACATCTGTTTTTAAATATCCTTCAATTTAAGCCTTAAGCCACCAAATCAAAATAACTATCATACCTTAGTTCCAACTACTGAGGTTTTACATGGCAAAAAAAAAACCCTACATTGAAATAGGAAATAAGAATTTCTGTTCTGACCTTTGACGTTCTCCATTCCCATCCATCGCCTATCTGTTCTGAATGTTTAATGAATTCTGCACAGTAATGCTGGAATGTTTTTTCTCCAAAGAACTCTTCTTCTTCCATGTTAAAAGACAACTGCAATATAAAAACTAACTATTAGCATCACCTGTAGAATGAACATTGAAAGGAATTCTGCTTTTAAACAAACCAAAATTTGGGATGTAGAATGAAAAAATAACCTCAGGGCCATTCCAAAAAGTGTTAGGTTTCCATCTTTTTCACCCTATCCCCATTCGTTTAAGGAAGAATTTGTGATCAACATGAAAACCCAAAACGTATATTTGTAACACATATACACATAATACACATCTATGTAGGACCTGTATTTAGTAAAAAGTTTAGTCCGTCCATAAATTTTGTTTCAAGAGCTTAATTGTATCCCACTTCTTCTAAGCTAATGCTTCTAATCCACCTCCTCCTCCTCCTCCGAACTTCCTTCTGTACCTCCTACCTTAGCTTTCATATTGACGGTGTAACGGTGACTGGTGCAGCTAAGCAGTTCTTCATACTTTATTAGAAAGTTCAACTCACTAACAAAGGATGTTCTAAAGCCTGAAACTGGTTGTTTTTCAAAATGTGAGTTTTTTTGTTTTGTTTTATTTTTATTATTTTAATTTTTTTTCACTGTATACGCTTATGGAATACAGTTTGGTGTTTCAATATATACATATATTGTGTAATGATCCAATCAGAATATCTATCACCCAAACATTGATCATTTATTTGTGGCTAAAACGTACAAGATCCTCTTTTCTGGCTATCTTGAAATAGACAATGCAATATTATTAGCTATTGTCACCCAAGAGCACCAGAACTTCTTCTTAAGTGTCTAACTGTAACTTTGTAACTTTGTACCGGTCTATTAACCTTTCCTGTCCCCCTTTCCCCCCCTCCCTTTCCCTGCCTCTGGTAGCCATTATTCTGTTCTATTTCTTTTTTGTTTGTTTGTTTTTTCAAGGTGTAAAGTTATGATCACCTAATTAATTACCTACTTTATCAAATCTACAAATGTGGCATATCAAAGAATACCCATATATTTGTTATATACATCTGTCAAAACCTGAAACATTATTTATAGAAAGAGAATTTTAGAGCAGGAAGGAAACTCACAGATCCTCAGGCTTCTCAATGAGAAAAGTTAGACCAAGTGAATTTCCACATTCTCTTCTTTAGTGATAAGCGTCATCAGGACAATTGTCACTTGTTCACTGCTTACTATGTCAAGCACTATGCTAGACACTTCACATTCCCATTTAATCCTCACACAACCCAAAGGTTGTTATCTCCATTCCTCAGATGAAAAAGGGAAAATAATATGCTCAAAAATACAAACAAGAAGGGATTCAAACCCCTATTTGGATCCAGGGCCAATGATCTGTCTACACTAGCTGATTCCCAAAACAGTGTTCTTTCTTTTTTTTTTTTAAAAGATGACCGGTAAGGGGATCTCAACCCTTGGCTTGGTGTTGTCAGCACCACGCTCAGCCAGTGAGCAAACCGGCCATCCCTATATAGGATCCGAACCCGTGGCCTTGGTGTTACCAGCACCGCACTCTACCGAGTGAGCCACGGGCTGGCCTCCAGTGTTCTTTCTTATCATTCTAATTTAGTATAACCTATATAAAAATCTGTTCATTCATCCAACAAATATACATTGAATATCTACTAAGTAGTAGGCACTGTGCACAGGTAAAGGTTAAATATACAAAAATGAAAAAATACATAGTCCGTACCTTGTGAGAGCTCATGTCCTAATGAAGAGAGATAAGCAATAAAAATAATTACAGTAGATACTCTCTTAACCAACCTCCATTCAAACAACCCGCCAGATTAAAAATCACGGACTGGTGTCTACAGCACACTGATCATGAAGCACCTCTGCTCCCATCAGTTGAGTGTACAAATACATAGTTTAAACATTAAACAAACCAAACCACTAAAATATAAGTAAAAAAGAAACACAACTGTTATGTCTATGATTGAATGCCTTGGAAAGGCTCAAAAAAGGTGAATCTATACAAGAAAATCAAACTGCTATTGAAGTAGGTACGGACAATGCAACTAAAAAGATTGGTGAGGAAAAAAAAATCATAAAATCTAGGATTCAGCACTCAGATTGCTGTCCAAGTGGCTTGAATTCTTTCACTTAAACCAAAACTAAAAATCTAGAGGACGCATTCTAGGTTCAGTTTAAACAAGAACAAACAATGAATTCCAATCAAGTACCCACACCCAAAGAATATACCTTGATAACACATCAAAAAATTGGCAAATGAATGTATTTATGTTTTAAGTTGATTATTTTTCGTGGGCTGGCCAGTGCAAGGATCTGAATCCTTGACCTCGGTGTTATAACACCATGCTCTAACCAACTAAGCTAACTGGCCAGCTCTATGTTTTAAATTGAAATGAAATATTTCAAGTATTCATGTATTTTTTTTTAACTCCAGCTTTAATCAGCTTTTTCAATTAACTGCTCAACTATCAATTCTGATAGCACTGGAAAAGAGAACTTGTATTTAAAGTATATGCAGTAATGGACATATGCACAAAGATTATGGTAGGCACAAGGAGGGTCCCTTACAAAGGGGAGATGGTGTGGGAGGGTATGACGGTGGAGGCAGAGATGACTCTGTAAGGTATGCAAGAGTTGTTGCATGGCAAACTGTCAGTGGGTTAAGTACAGGGACTGGAACAATGATCCAGGAAAGGAGGAAAATGTGAATAAAGGCAACTAAGGATGCAGAGAACTACGAGAAGTTCGGTATCACTGAAACCTGAGGCAGGGAATATAGAGAGATAGAGAGCTAGTCAAATCACATGTAAGTTAAACCTGTCTGCCCTCACTAAGTGGAGTAGAAATGGATGAGAAGGGCCTCAAAGAACAAGATAGAAGAGTAATGAACTTGCAGAAAAGAAGCTTGTGTGCCATGTAAGAGTTTGGACTGTTTCCACAGGAAATAGGGAATCAGAGCTTGGATCTGAAAATGTCAGAATAATAAGTCAGAACTAGCTGGTTAGCTCAATTGGTTAGAGCATGGTGTTGATAACACCAAGGTCCACGGTTCGATCCCTGTTACCATCCAGCTGCCAAAAATAAAAAAAAAAAAATTTACGGTAAAAAGATTAAGAAATCATTAGGGGCTCTGCAGAGGATGGATTTGGAGGGCACAAGACTGAAGGGAAGGAGAAGCGTTAGAAGCTGTTACACTGGTCTGGCTAAGAGGTCATAAGATGTGAACCTAGGCAATAAAAAGGAGAAGACAGAATATGCACCTTAAGCTATGGGGAGAAGCCAAGATCAACTTAAAGATTCGGAAATCATCTCCTAAAAGAGACAACTGAAGCCATGAAGATGAATAATATCTAGACGGGATGCATATAACAGATCCTTAATACGGTTTCTGGTGGCTCAAGAAACTTTACATTAAAATTTGTATATATGTACTCATCTACACTTTTTCTGGGAAAGACTTTATAATTTCCAACAGATTCTTTAAGTGATCTTAGCCAACAAGTTAAGAACCCCTACACAGTGAAAAGAGCAGTGGGTTGAGAGAAACCTTCAGAACATCAGTATTTACAGGACCAGCAAAAGAACTAGAGAATGAAGAGTCAAGCATTAGGAGGCGATCCTAGCAAGGGCAGTGTTACAGAGATCAGGGTTGAGGGCTTCAAGGTAGAGAATAGCCACCAAATCCCAATAGTGTCAAAACAGAAGACAGGCTCATTAAGAAAAGAACTGAAAACATCCACGCAACTTAATGAAGCAGTCATTGGTGCCTTAGTGCGCAGTGTCGGCAACGGTGGAGAGAGAAGCAGGCTGCAATGGGCTAGAAGAAAACTAAAAGTGAGGATATAGTAAAAACTTTGCAGACTACTTTTTCAAAAAGCTTCACTGAAAGTGAATACAAATCGGTAACAGAAGTGGCATATAGGCTCAAGAGAGAATACTGTTTTTTCCTAAGGAAGAGATATCTGAATACATGTTTAAACTGGGCAAAGGGGGGTGGTAGAGAGGGAAAGTTAAAAATACCAAAGAGAGAAACTATAAATAAGTAAACACATAACCAAAGAGAGAAAGTAACTGATGAAGCAATATCCTAAAGGGCTTAGAAGGGGACGAGTCAATAGTGTAGGAGGATGGATTTGAACAATACAGTAGACAACGTGCCCCTCACAATTGGGGAAAAGGCATTTCAGGATGAATATGAAATTTAGAGAAGTTTTTCAAAGGGGATCCAAAGTTAAGGAAGAGGAGGTCACGAGATATTTTGATGTAGGGGCAGGCAAGATGTTCTGCGGAGAATGAAAGGATAGTGGTAAAATGAGAATGTGTGAGAAAACTAGTGGAAATTTGAAATTACTGGTAAGAGAAATGAGACGACAGCGTTTACGGATAAGCAGCTAGAACACCAAGCTCAAGGATTCAGATCCACACACTGGCCAGCTGCCAAAAAAAAAAAAAGAATAAGCAGACAGAAGTGAAGGCCCAGCACAGGTTGGAGACCCTGAATCTGTAGTGCAATACTCTGTGAGTTATGATTATCTTCAGAGTGCTCAGCTCCCCAAGTGTGGGAACCAGCAGAGAGAACTACATTAATAATGCAAAGTTGTGGTTTTGCTGGATTGATTCAGTGGAAGGATAAGAGTATAAGAGGGAATAGAAAATGCTAGTGAGAATAGCTCAGAGGTTCGAGTTAGGTAGAAAGGGAAAAGATGCCAAGAGAAGGTTGAATGGACTGGTATCAAAAAGATTTGAAAACTATAGCATAAGGACAGAAATGGAAAAACGAGAAGAATATGAGATTTTAGAATTTAATGAAGTCTTAGCTGTGGCCATGGGAGTGAGTATACAGCATAAAATAACTTGGGGATGAGTGTTACTGAAGCTCAAGAAGTTTAAAAAACTGTGAGGTTTGGATTCCTTCTCAAGATTGTACTAAAGACAGCCACTACCACTGGACAGGGACAGTAGGTGAGAAAAAATCCTACCTTTCCATAGCTGATAGAGCTGAATTGCATAAGCCTCAAAGAAGCAGGGATGCTCATATGAGAAGCAGTGACCTA